CTATCCTACTCTTTGCTTTGGCTACTCAATTCTTGTTATCAGAAGGAGCTTCTCCTCCTCTGCTGATTTATTTCCTCCTTTCTTACTTTCCCCCTAGTAATTTGCATCCCTTGATGCTGCTGCTTGATAAACAGCACATCAGCAAATTCATCTGAGTTGTACCAAGCTGTGGGTGGGAACACACCAGAAGCTAACAACTGACATGAATGTTTCTCATTCCTTGTGATCAACAGTTTTTTCCAGCTCTCTGTTGCCCTCCCAGAGCTGCATCTGTCACAGATCTCTTTATTTCAGTGCAGTGAGATGATGGAGACACACTGCATAGCTCTTGAAAATGAGTTTTCTGACAATTTTTAGTAAACAGAGTTGATGATGACCATCTTGGGTCTTGTTTGTGGCTGCTGCTGGGAGACCTCACAGTGGCTACTTAACTTCTCTGTGCCAGAGTTTGTCATCTGGAAAACAGAGGTAATAATCCTTTTCAGCCATGCAAATATGCCATGACTCTCAATTCATTGTAAAGCACATTAAGATACTCTAAGAGGAGTAATAATGAAGTGAGAGATTTTCTCTGTGTGAATCCCAAAGCTTTTGAACACAGCAATATATGTTCCCTGTCATTTTTCTGAGCTATAATTAAACATATGGTTAGTCAGAGATGGACAAAGCCAATCCTAGAGAGAGAACACTCCAAGTCAGGTGGGCAATAATCAACCCCTGGGGATCTGGGAGGATGAACATCTGGTCAGGTTGTTACTAATTGGGAAGACTCTTCTGCTGCTGCAGCTTGGGACAGAGTAAAGAATTATCCCTTTTTGAGGATGTGGTGATGCTGCTGGAAACATAGGAAGATAATGGCATTGAAGCCTGCTAATGAGCAACAGTTTTAGGGACAAGTTGCAAGTTTCTTATTCAACTGCCAACATGGATATAAAGCTTTGACAGCATCTGGGCTGGGGACCAAATCCAGAAGGTCACGTGTGATGGAGGCTATTGCTCAAGAATGGACTTTGCATCTGGAACTTCAGAGGGGACAGCTGGGCAGGGAAATGCTTCCTCCAGCATGGCACAGCACCTCTGCTGCTTGGGCTGGTACAGAGTCTATCCCTCTGTTTCACAGGAATATCTCTTTGATGGGGAGGGTAATTGACAGGTAGCTCTCCCAGGTCCTCCTCCTGTTTCTGCCAAGGATTTACCGTGTGACCTTGAGTAAATTGTTGAAGAAAGCTTTTCTTGCAAAGTGAGGTGGCCAAGATCTGAGAGGGGCCACGGGAGTGAATCAAGCATTGCAACACAGAGCTTGTTTCGAAGGGAAGGAGCAGTGACAATGACACACATTGATGTCCACATGCTTTTGATCCTGCTCAGCTCTCTGTTATACAATGACAGACTCAAGGATTTGAAAACATAGGAAAGAAATAAAAGGCCTGTGAGCAATGGTTAAAGAAAACATTGACTAAAACTCAGGAGCGAGTTTTATTTTCCAAGGGAAAGAAAGAGACTTGAGAAATATTCAGGAGTAACTGCTGGAGAGTGTCTGCAGTGAAGTCCTAGAATCACAGAATTTTAGGGGTTGAAATGGAGCTCAGAGATCCTCCAGCCTCAACTCCCTGCCCTGGGCAGGGACACCTCCCACCAGAGCAGGTTGGTCAAGGCTTCATCCCACCTGGAATGAACATTGCCAGGGTTGGGGCAGCCACAGCCTCTGGAAATGGTGATCTTTCCATCCCAAAATGGCATAAGAGGACTTTGTGGCTGGAAATGATGTATTTCTAGACATTCACATATGTCCTGTCTAAGATAGAAAAGTCACAGTTAGGTAGCTTTGGCCAGGACCCACTAAGGAGGTCATCACTCAGCCTTGGCCAGGGAGATGATGGAATTCCTCTGTGCTCATCCTTGTTTGACAGTTTCAATGCAACTCCTTCTTACCTTCTCTCTAGGCTCGTGTAGGAGGGATGGAGTTCTCCCCAGGGATGGTCTACATCTCTCCAGACAGCCCTCTGAGCTTGCCAGCTATTGTCAGCATTGCAGTGGCTGGTGGGCTCCTCATCATCTTCATTGTGGCCGTGCTGATTGCCTACAAGCGCAAATCCAGGGAGAGCGACCTCACCCTCAAGCGTCTGCAGATGCAGATGGACAACCTGGAGTCCAGGGTGGCACTGGAGTGCAAAGAAGGTAGGATGAGGGTGCAGGTTGATGCTCTGTCAGTGCTGGTAGAAGAGAGTCATCCAGCCACAAAGCTTTGAGGCAAAGCAGCACAAGCAAAAGGAGTGTTGAGCCCCATGGGTGTGGCTCAGACCTGGATCTGATCTGACCTTGCTACTTCCCTGAGTGCAGACATCCTTCCACCTGTCCTAACTGCATTGGCTATTTCACAGTCCAGAGAGAGCCTTGACACATGGCCCTGGGGAAAGGCTGCTCTCTATCACAGGTGTCACTGCTCTTGTCCACCTTCTTCCTCTCCACTGCTGCTTCTCCACTTCTACCTTAATCTCATGCATGTGGCTCTGAGGGCCTTTCCCAGCATGGTGAGGGTGATCTGGGTTGGCATTGCTACATGACTTGTTCCTTTTTTTGTGTCAGCCTTTGCAGAGCTGCAGACAGATATTCACGAGCTGACAAGTGACCTGGATGGAGCTGGGATCCCTTTCCTCGACTACAGAACCTATACCATGAGGGTGCTTTTCCCTGGCATTGAAGATCATCCAGTCCTGAGGGATCTGGAGGTAAGACATGAACATACCTGCCTGCTCTCGTGCCTCCCTGTTTGGTCCTGAATGCAAGAGATGCTGTGCCAGTGGTGGGGACATCGTGGCTTACAATGCTGTGTCCTACCAGGGACAAGACCTGGGTTGAAAGAGGAAGATGATTGCTGCTTAGATCATAGCATTGTAGAATCATTAAGGTTGGAAAAGCCCTCTGAGGTCATCTAGTCCAACAGTTGCCCCAGGACTGCCAAATCCACCACTAAACCATGTGCCCAAGTGCTACATGTGCACGTCTCTTAAATCCTTCCAGGGATGGTGACTCCAGCACAGCCCTGGACAGCCTGTTCCGATACTTGTCCATCCTTTCAGTGAAGAATTTCTTCCTCATATCTAATCTAAACCTTCCCTGACACAACCTGAGGCCATTTCCTTTCATCCTGTCACTTGTTTCCTGTTAAATTCTGTTTGATCACTCACCCATTTGGAAGACTCTCATAGATCTCTGTGCTTTGGGTCTAGCTATTAAGCCTCTTGGTCTTCACTCTCTGTGGTTTGTGTTTTTAGACTGGATTTATTAGTTACTGCTGTGCAGGGACCAGGAGCAAAAGGCTATGTGACAGAGGAGCACGTTCGCCTGTGTCGCTGGAGCTTTGCGTGACCCTCACACTACCAAGAGTGGTTTGTTGTGGTAATCCCTACAAAAACAACCTCCTGCCACTGAAGGAATTTCACCCTTGGTGCCCTCTGTGCTTTGCAGAGAGGCCAGAAAAGCACAGCATGTCTTCCCATACCCTGCCCACATCTTCCTTCTCTACCCAACTCTCTGAGCACTGGTGGGAGAGCAGTGGGACATTGCCCACCACTGCTGGGGTGTGTGCACAGCCTGTGTTGCCTCATTGATGACATCAGTTCTGATGGGACCCTACATGAGGTGTGCTCATGCTACAAACTGCTTCAGGCTCTGGCAGATGGACAAGCTCTGCTCGAGGAATACCTGGGCCAGAGAACCAGGAGCTGCACCATGGCCGAGGCCAGGGAGGTCATTGGCTGAGCTCTCTGCAAAGTCTTTGGCAGGCTCTGAGCTTCAGAGAGGCTCTGGCAGGGGCTGGTGAGATTGCTGGAGGCCAAGACTGGGGTTAGTTGGCAGGCAGGAGAAGCAGGAGCTGGCACAGGCAGTACCACGCTTGGCTGGCTCTGGAGTCAGAGTTGCCTGTTCATCTCTGCTCCTTCCATTTGGAAGAGCTGAATTTCATCAAACTGTATGGAGAGAACCATCAAAAAACCTGATCTGTCAGCAGGGAGGACTTGTGGGATTGGGTGAGCTGAGTTACATGGTGACTACTAACATATCTTTGCCTTTGGGGTGCAGGTAGAGTGACCTCAAGCTGCTTTCCCTCAGCACCTTCAACAAATGAGCAGGAGAAACGGGGGGTGCCAATTCTCTCCCTCACATACGTGTACACACACCGAGACCCTTTCATTATCCCCACAGCCAGTTTCAATCCCTGTATTCATTAACCCCAGCCAGCTGATCACAGAGGAGCGCTTGACCCCTACAGAGGTCTTAGCACGGATGCTTCCCTGTGTAGATACACACTGAGCTAATGTTTCAATCTGCCACCTTTGATCTCTTCTTCCTTTCATTCCTTTCATTATATTTTTGCCTTAATCCTTTGTAAAGCTTAACAGCTCTGTCATTGTCAACATCTTGGCCTACCAACACGAAGGTAGAATCTCCCATTCTGCTCCTTTCTCTGCAGCACCTAGAAGGAGCTGCTCTTTCTTGCCAAAGGCCCCAGCACAGCTCCTGCAGTGAGAAGGTCTTACTTATTTCCACTTCATTTGCTAATTAACTGCTTCCAGATGCAGCACAAAATACTGTGGTGATTTTTTTTATATTTTTCAATTCTCCATAATAACCCAAGGAGAGACAATATTAAATGTTCAAGCAAGTGAGTTAAAAGTCATTATTGGCAGACTGGGTGGTAGTGGTTGGTTGGTTGGTTGGTTGTCTCAAGCTATTTAGTGTGTAATTTATTTTCTGCATGCAAAAGAAGAGTTAAGAGCTCTAATTTGCAGAATGAAAAAAGTAATGACTCTTTCAGGGGCTTTGCATTACTTGGTTGTTTAAGCATGCCAACTGATTTTCTATTAAAGTGCCAAATTTGGTTGGTTATTAATTCATATATGCCTTGGTGACATGTGTTGCTCTGTGGTGAAACCATTCAGCTTCCAGGGAAGCTTTGCAAGGGCTGAAACAGCTTCATCAGCCACACTGGGGAATGAGTTTGGGGTTCTCTGTGTAGGCTCCAGTTTTGGCTAGACTCAGAAGGACTCCTGGGCCCCTCAGCTCAGGAGGGATATTGAGGTGCTGGAGCAGGTCCAGAGAAGAGCAACGAGGCTGGTGAAGGGACTGGAGCACAAGTGGCATGAGGAGAGGCTGAGGGAGCTGGGGGTGTTCAGCCTGGAGAAGAGGAGGCTCAGGGGAGACCTTAGCACCCTCTGCAACTCCCTGACAGGAGGTTGGAGTCAGGTGGGGGTTGGTCTCTTCTCCCAGGCAACCAGCAGCAGGACAAGAGGGCACAGACTCAAGCTCTGCCAGGGGAGGGTTAGGTTGGATGTTAGGAAGAGATTTTTTAGGGAGAGAGTGATGAGGCATTGGAATGTGCTGCCCAGGGAGGTGGTGAATTCACCATCCCCGGAGGGTTTCAAGGTGAGACTGGATGTGGCACTTAGTGCCATGGTCTAGTAACCACAGTAGGGTTGGACTTGATGTTCTTGGTGCTCTTTTCCAACCTGGTTGATTGCATGGTTCTCAGAAAGAGTAAATCTCTCCATGGGCTGTGGAGTCAAAGCTCTAGCTTTGAGGTTCTAAATGATTCTGTGGTAAAAACTAGTTCACCAACCTCTCACAGCTGAGGGATACATTAGAGACTTATCAACCTCTGTCTCCAAACCACCTCACCTCCCAAGCCCAGGGGTCCTGTGCACTGGGACCTCAAATATAGGTCCCAGCTTGGTGTGTCCTCTCACACCTTCACCTATCCAGTTCTTCAACCCAAAGCTCAGCTGCTCAGCCACTGCCTCACTGCATCTCTTCATCTCAAAACCTCATCCTGGACTCTCTTCACCATTTATTCCTTGCTGCTTCTCTCAGCTTCATAAAGCTGAACCCCTAAGCAGGTTTCTTGTGGGGATGAGAAAGAAGTTTCAGGTGAAATTGGAGTAAGACTTCAGCTTGACTGCACTAAAAACATAACATGGTGTGGAGCCACATCTAGGCACTAACAATCTCCTTGTGTTGTAAGGTTCAGAGGAGTAAACACAGGGTTGGATAAGAATCATCTGGCTTAGTTTGGAGGTCTCTCAGGCTTTGTAATCATTAGATCATTTGTGGACTCTGTTCCTTTCTTTCCTCAGCTCGAGGAGCAGGAGGGATGAGGGCAGAGAGGTGGCAATGGGTGTGTGACCCCCGTGTGGAGGTCTGACAGTGGGTAACGAGGGAAAGACACCAACTCCCTTTCTTCTTGTGCAGGTACCTGGCTATAGAGTGGAGTGGAGAAAGGCCTGAAGCTCTTTGCCCAACTCATCAACAACAAGGTGTTCCTGCTCTCCTTCATCCGCACGCTCGAGTCCCAGCGCAGCTTCTCCATGAGGGACAGGGGCAATGTGGCCTCACTCATCATGACAGTGCTGCAGAGCAAGCTGGAGTATGCCACTGATGTCCTCAAACAGCTCCTGGCTGACCTCATAGAGTGGAGAAAGGCCTGAAGCTCTTTGCCCAACTCATCAACAACAAGGTGTTCCTGCTCTCCTTCATCCGCACGCTCGAGTCCCAGCGCAGCTTCTCCATGAGGGACAGGGGCAATGTGGCCTCACTCATCATGACAGTGCTGCAGAGCAAGCTGGAGTATGCCACTGATGTCCTCAAACAGCTCCTGGCTGACCTCATAGACAAAAATCTGGAGAGCAAGAACCACCCCAAGCTGCTTCTGCGGAGGTAAGGATGCCCTGGGGGTGGAGAGAGTTGGGCTCCCACAGCTCTGTGGGAAATCTGAGTTAGAAATCTGCTGCTCTGTAATGAACGTGTTTTCCCTGCCTAGGAAGTGCTGCCACTTCTCTGTTTAGGATCAGATTCATCTCCTTTTCAGTCTGGACCAATCCTTCTGCTCCTGTCAGGGCAGTCTTCTGGAGACAAGTGACCTTTGCCACCGCTCAGAGCCGACTTTGAGGGGCTCTCAGCTGATTCTGATGGATGGCTTGGGCAGGGAGGAGAGCTCTGGAGCCTGCTGGGAGACCTTCCAGCTGGCACACAGCCCACTGTGGAGAACCAGCAGGAAAGAGGGAGCAGAATACTCTTCCTGGCATCCAGGGCAGCAATGCCAGGGGCAGAGGCTGCACTTTGCTTTGGTGTCACTTGCCTCCCTGATGGGTTTCACGCCCTCCAACCTGGCTGGTGACCACCCCCCAGCTGTCCCCAGGCTTCCTCTCTGTGCTTCTCCTCTGATGCTGGATGGCACTGCCTCCTTCCAACTGTCTCCCCACTTTGTTTCCTCATTTTTCTTCCCCTTTCTCCTCCATCTCTTTATCTTCCCTTGGTCATTTCTAGCTTGTCCTGAGCATCCCATCTTTCCTCTTTCTCCTTCTTCCAGCTCTTTTCTAACTCTGGTCCTCTTTGTTGGAAAAGAAATGTGGCTTTTGGAAGAAGACACAGGGAACGAAGGTGGCACCTCCAGTGGTCCAAGCTGTGAAAACACAAGGGATGTGGTTTCTGGGTGAGAGGGAGGTCCTGCACTGTGCAGCACCAGCACAGAATCTACTGCTGAACAACTGAACTGCTCAGTGTTTTGTGTCAGGAGTTGGTGTGAGGTCCTCAGCCAATTATTTGGAGCAGCTGGATTCAACTCAATGCTTCCCCTGTGTCCCCTTGAATCTGGGGATGGAAGAGAATCTTCCAACCCCTTTCTGCAGTGTCAGTTTTGGAGGTACTGGACAGACAGGAGCTGGCAGAAATGATTTTGCCACCTCACCTGTGTCTAGTGTTGATCTCACATGGCATCTACAGCCTCAAAGAGGTTTTCAGGCCAGAGAGCAACCAGAAGAAGCAGGAACCCCTGTGTGGCCTTGGTGATAGCAGGATGAGGAGGAGCCACTTTAATTCACCTGGGCAGAGACTCCTACTTTCCTCTTGGACAACACCAGTGCAGGTACTGGAGCCAACACAGGTTTCTCCTGTGCTCCTGCTGTCCACAGCACATTTACAGATCTGAGTCAGTCCTTCTGTAGGAAAAGTTCACCCTGAAGCCTGGAGATGGATTTTTGTTTGATTGAGGACAGTGTTCAGCTGCAAAATGATGAGCTCTGTGTATGTGCCACATTGACACATTGAGGAGTATAATCACTCCCAAATGCCAGGGAGATAGTCAGTGCCAGATAACTGTTCTCTGGTGAATCAGATCTGTCTCTCTTGAGTATTTATATAGCCTACTTGACATATGGCCTAGCTCTGAGCTCCTCATATTTGATGGAGTTATCCTCCCTGAGCTCCTTTGAGAAGATTCCCTCAAACATTGTCAACTCAGTTTTGTTGCTGGAGAAACTGAAACACAGACATGCAGGGACTTAGAGTCACAGGAAAATCAACAAGGATTTGCCTCCAAGTTTCCTAAGTCCAAAATAAAGCAGAGAACCTAGGACGTGCTAAGTCCTGATGGTACCATGCCAGACATTCCATGGCGCTCAGAGATCTGGGCAGGAAGATCCAAGGCCAATCCTTTGACTAGCTCCTTTGATACAACCAGAATGACTAACTTAGCTCTAATTGGCCTCTTCTTCCTCCCTGATTTTAGGACAGAGTCTGTGGCTGAGAAGATGCTCACCAACTGGTTCACCTTCCTTCTGTACAAGTTCCTCAAGGTAAGAGGAGCAGCATGGCTGGAAGAACAGCTGCTTTAATACATTTCTTCTTGGGGAGGTTTAATGGAGGCAAAAGCATTAAAGGAAAGGGGTTTTTTTTCTCCCTCTGGAAGGAGGTCAGTGCCTAATGGGAGAGGAACTGTTTTCTGATCCAGGGAGAACAAAGAGGGACACTTTGTTAGAGAGGCAGCCTGGTGGTCTTTCTCCTGGGATCTAAGGGGCAGTGCTGAAACATGAAGGAGTTCAGAGCCTGATTGAGACCTGTGTGGAAAATGCTCTCCTTTCACTAGCAGACTGAGGTCTCCATCATGTGGTGACCCATATTTCCAGTGCCTAGTGGCTGGAGATCTCCTTCCCCCCCCAGTTCAGAGGCAGTACTGAGAGACAGCCCCAGCTGAAGGGACTCTCACCAGCAAAAGAGGCAAAGGACTTGAAATGCCCCCAGAACCATCTTGTTCCTCCCAGAGGGTCTCCTTGGGGTATTGGGTAGTGAAAAAAAGAGTCTTTCAGCCTCTGAGACCTGCTGGGTGATGGCAGTTTCCTCTTGGGGACCCACACTGAGCCTCAACCATGCCAATTCCTCAAACTCAGAGGCAGTTTTGGGAAGGAGTTTTGTTCTGCTCCTCTCCCCCACTCCCAATGCAGCTGCTAAATAGCCTAACACCTTACAGCCTCATTTGCACCGAATAACCACTCTCTGCCTGGCAATTCGAGGCTTTACAAATAAACCTCAACCCCCTGAGCTTTCCTCAGCCACAATCAGTTCAAGGATGAACACATGGGAAAGTTTTGAAGGTCCCTGGAAGGTAATTTCAGTGCCTTCAGTATCAGATCCCTGCTTTGAGCTGAAAGGAAAGGATATAAGGAGGTGACTCTCTAAAGAGCTGCTTTTATAATAGGCTTTTTTCACCCCACTCAGCTACTTGTCTTCTTGCCTTAGCCTGAACAGAGGCCTGATAAGGGCAAGAGACAGGCACACAGAAGCAATATGCTGCTGGCAGATAAGCTAATTAAGTGGGAGACAGGTGTAGGGAGTGAGAAAGGGACCACTTTGCTTCTGATTATTAACTTGTTGTTCCTGGGATTTACACCAGAGGAAAATGACCTGCTCATTTTGTTGGGACACTGCAAGAGGAGAGGGAGAGGAGGGGAGGAAGGATGGCTGGAGGGGAAGGGAGGCAGTAGCAGAAGGCATGAGATGGGGTGAGTGGCAGGGAGGGTGCTGAGGGAGGGCAGCAAGGCTGGGAAAAGCATGGGAAGAGGAATGCAGGGAATGTGAATGATGGGAAGGAGAAATCAGGGAGGTTCTGCTTGTTGCTGTCCTGTGCTGGGCCCCACACATCTGACAGCACCAGTGGAGCCACACAGATCCAGGGACACATCTCCCCTGGGTCATGGAGCTGCTCCTGCCTGAGCATCCCTGTTTGCCTCCAGCATAAGAGTTCTCAGGAGACTGTGCAGTCTGCCTAGACACCCAGAACAGAGCACCAACAGTTTCAGAACTGCCTCCAGGGCTTCTGGAACCCATCCCACCACCTGCAGAGCTCTGGTGGCAATGATTGAACATCTCCTGCAAGGCTCTGCTGGTCCCAGCAAGCACTGACACCTCTGTCCTGTGACAGGACCCTCGAGGGCTGTGGAAGTGTAGGGTCACCTCTGCTCCTGGGCTGTATGGAACAGGCTGTTCCCACGGATGTGTCTGTCTGGAGGGCTTGGGGATGCCAAGCTGTGGCAGTCACTGAGACACAGTGTAGGTTGGATTCTCACCTCTACTCCTTCTGTTTCTCCTCATGGCTGTCTCTCATCCCTGCAGGAATGTGCTGGTGAGCCTCTCTTCTCCCTTTTCTGTGCCATCAAGCAGCAGATGGAGAAGGGCCCCATCGACTCCATCACGGGGGAGGCTCGGTACTCACTGAGTGAGGACAAGCTCATCCGACAGCAGATCGACTACAAGACACTGGTGAGTGCCCTGAGCACCTTCCCATGGGCTTGGCCAGAATCTGCTAGCTAAAGGGGTCTGAGAGAAAAGAAGGGCTATGTTAGAGGTACACACTGGAGGGACCTCTTAGGGCTGCTCTAGAGCTACTGCAGCTATTCCCCTTCAGCACACACAAGTCAAAGGAAAATGAACTTGATTTCAAGAGGAAACTAATGCCTGTCAGAGTCATTTGCTTCAAATGGAGTTGTCTGCATGATGCAAGATACACATTGCATATGTGCAGCTTTAGCTTCTGCTCTGAGATCACACCCTTTTCCCACTTGATTAAGGAGTATCAATTAAAGAGCATTAGATATCTCTTCTTAGTGTGTTTGTGGCCTTCATTCTTTCCTGGATGCACTAAATCCACTTCTAAGTCTCTGTGGGATGAAGAACACTTCCTCAGTCTTCAATGATCCTTGTAATTTCTTGATGGTCATGTCTTTGTTCTCAGAAAACCCTAAATTTTAGGATGGTCAGAAGATGCTCTGATCTGCTCAGATTGTTTTATTTGCACTTTCAAATGAGGGACATTCATCTCACTTAACTCTCGATAGCTCTGAGAGCTGTGCACAGTCACAGAATCATAGGCTCACAGAATGGTTTGGGTTGGAAAGGACCTTAAAGATCATCAATTTTCAAACCCCAGTTTGTGTTAGCTCTTTGACCTGTCTTAGACCTTAGCTCAGATGAGCTGATGCTAGAAATAGCTGCTTGTCTTCTGTTACTACAGTCTAGAGCAGAGATCTGACTGACTCCCAGTCTGGTGAGGGCTTAGACTTTGTGCTTAAATAAGGCCACAGTTTTATTATCGTAGTGTGTTAAGGGGTTGGAATGGACCTTAGAGATCATCCAGCCCCAACCCCCTGCCCCTGGCTTTCTTTCCTTTCCATTTTGCATATTAAATCAACCTTTCCTCTTGACCGATCAGCACAGCGTTCTTTGCTGTTCCATGTGGTTGTGTAGCAATTCCAAGGCCTTGTCTCACAGGAGAGAGGGAGCACAAGGAAGGGAAATGCAGACACGGAGCGATCACTTTGAGCAGAGGAAATCCCCCAGATCCTTTTAGGCTGATAGAAAGCAGCAGCAAAGGGCAGTAATTATACAGCAGCCTGAACAAAGCTCTCCTCCACTCGCTTTGTGCTCTTTGATGTTAATCACTTCTCCCTCTTACATCTCAAGAGCAGACAAATCTATCCCGATAGGAATCTCAGCAGATTTACAGAGATCAGCTTCGGTGAAGGAGATTAGGAAGCAGTAGCATATGAATAGGATTGTTCTTCGTTTCTGTTTCTCTTGATTCCTGTTTTATTTTGTCCTTCCTCTGCTTCCTTGAGCAGTCTGACATCCCTGATTTCAAATACATAGGGATGAAATAAAGGCAGAAATGATTCAGTATTTGGAGTATGGGAATTCCCTCAATGTCTCCTGTTCTCTACCCAAGGGACACAGTCACCACTGTGAGTTTGCAGTGAATGGGGCTAAAATTCACTGGGATGTTCATGTATCACAATATGTTAAGGGGTTGGAATGGAGCTTAGAGATCATCCAGTGCCAACCCCTGCCCTGGGCAGGGACACCTCCCACCAGGGCAGGTTGCTCAAGGCTCATCCAACCTGGAATGAAACACTGCCAGGGCTGGGGCAGCCACAGCCTCCCTGGGCAACCTGGGCCAGTGTCTCACCACCCTCACATTAAAATCAAGAGTGCTTGGTGGCTGTTTGACTGAGTCACATCACAATTCCAGCAGTGGGACACATGGAAAAAGGATGTTGGCATTATTTCCAGAAGACAAGGACAGGGCTTCTTTTGGAAGTCTCAGACTTGATGATCTAAGAGATCTTTTCTAACCTAAATGATTCTATGATTTAGTCTTTAACCTTCATTAATCCTGACCAAATGGTTTAAAACATGGGTTTGAATATGATTTGAGTGAAAAGCAGATCCAAAGGAATTGACTTATCCAGGGAGAAAAGTGAAGACAGAATAGATGGAGACATCTGGAATGAATTATTTTTACAACACACACCTCAGACACTAGATTTAGATTGTTTCAGTCTGATTTCTCTCCAAACCAGTTAGCTCCAAGTTGCTGTCTGCCAGGTCCTACAGTGCTCCAAGGGAGCAGCCCTTGGTGTCCTGGGATCTTGGTAGTCTGGAACAATTCCTGTATTTACAAAGGGATTTTTCACTCCAGGAGAAATTAAGCTAGTACTAAGTACCTTCCTGTGAGGAACTGAACTGAACTCCAGGTGTTTGCATCAGAGCTTGCTCTGACTGGCATCAGCTCATTGTGGCCAGCAGGTCAAAAGAGGTGATTCCTCTACTCTTGAACTGAACTCCAGGTGTTTGCATCAGAGCTTGCTCTGACTGGCATCAGCTCATTGTGGCCAGCAGGTCAAAAGAGGTGATTCTTCCCCTCTACTCTGCTCTGGTGAGGCCCACCTGGAATACTGCACACAGTCCTGGTGTCCTCAACATAACAAGGACATGGAACTGTTGGAGCAAGGCCAGAGGAGGCCATGAAGTTGCTAAGAGCACTGGAGCATCTCCCCTGTGAGGACAGGCTGAGGGAGTTGGGGCTGTTCAGCCTGGAGAAGAGAAGGTTGTGTGGAGACCTCAGAGCAACTTTTCAATCTCTGAAGTGTAGTAGAATCATTTAGGTTGGACAAGACCTTTCAGATCATAGAGTCCAACCACAAACCTAACACCTGTGCAGGCTCTTAGCATTCAGGTGTTTACTTTTTGGATATTCCCAAGGAGTTTGCAGATGAAGAGGTTTCTGCTGGCAAGGAATGGGCACAACCCAGGAGGGCTGCAGAGGGCTCCATCAACTAATAACCTCAATGCTGGATGCATTTCATCAGTGCTTTTTATGTATAGTTCTGTGATCCTTTTAGATGAAAAGATGCCACAGGACTGTAAATCTGTGCCATTATTATTATTATCTGAATTGATGATGCTTCAATACTTCTGGAAGTGACATCTAAATAACAGCATTAGGATCTAATCAATATCTCATATTTACATCTCCCCCTTTCATCCAGCAAGATCACAGAGCTCTTTGTAAGCAGTATCTTCACAAGTCCCTCTTAGTTGAGCATAACATCACCAAAGGGAGCCTGGAGAGCCACTGTGTAATTATACTGAGAGGATTTCACCCTGTTTTAACCAACTCTGAGTTCCCACTGCATCTTAGGAGATGAAGGTGGAAAGCACTGGAGAGTCCAATACCTCTTGTGCACTAGAGAAGGGAATTTACAGCCAAGGTGGAAGTTGTCTAAGGCACCAAAACTAATATGTCTGCACTTGTAAAAGTGGCACAGGAGCATTTAATGACTGTGTATAGCCTGGAGCACCACTGAACATTCCTTTTGAGTGCTAGGTTTATAAAGCTTTGCAGACTTCACACTCCTGTAGCCAGAAGAGAGCAGAATGGTCACCAGAGCCATGGCCCAAGGGTTAGCAGGCAGGTTGCTATTAAACACTGGGGGGGAGGTGTGGGGAGGGGTTTTGAGGTATTCCCCATCACCAGCCCATATGTTTTGCATATGCTCTTGGATAGAGTCTTTGGAGAAAATTCAATTTCCCTTTAGAGAAATGAGAGGCCTCTAGTTGGGTCAGTGTTCTTCTTCTATATGTGAGAGCAGAAGTTGTTAGAATGATAGAGTCATCAAGGTTAGAGGAGACCTCTGAAATCATCAAGTCCAATCATTAACCTGTCACTGCTGGAACCCCTAAACCAGATCTTCCAGTGCCACATCGACACCTCTTAAAACACCTCTAGGGATGGTGACTCCACCATCTCCCTGGGCAAACCTATTCCAGTGCCTGAACACCCTAACAGACCTCTGTGCCCTCTTGAAGGAAGGAATACTCTTGCTACCCATTTTTCCTACTGTAGCACCCTAATTCCCTCTGGCTTCTAGGACACAGATGAGGGACAACCACATGGTACCTGTGCTGCTGTGAAATGTGTGGTGTGTCTCATTGCCTCTCTCTCAGGTCTTGAGCTGTGTGAACCCTGACAACGTGAACAGTGCTGAGATCCCAGTGAAGATCCTCAACTGTGACACCATCACACAGGTCAAGGAGAAGATCCTTGATGCCATCTTCAAGAACGTGCCCTGTTCCCACCGGCCCAAAGCTGCTGACATGGACTTGGGTATGTGATTGCACCTGGGCAGGGGGAAGGGGAGGTGGGAGACAGCCAACCTCCATCCAAACACTCTGCTGGAGCAGGTGCCACCTCTCCAGACTGAGTGGACCCTCTGCAAGGCAGAGCACAGCAGTGGTGAGAGGACAGAGGTTATATTATGTTGGTGTATGTGGTCCTGACTTATGAAATCTTGAGGACTTAGAAAGCCCTGGAGGGAAATGTGGAGGAACGGAGCAAGATCTGCTCAGGGCATTGCTGGGGGGTCTGGTAAGGGATTGGGAACTGCATTGTGGCTGTGTCTGCCAGAATTTGACCTTCAGTGAAAGAGACTCAAGTGGTGAATGATGGAGCCTCTAAAACCCAGCAAAGTTGTGGAGGAGCTACAAGGAGTAGGAATGGACTGAGGCCAAGAAACAATTCACAGGACTAATGGAGACAGGAACGAGAGGTCAGGGATTAAAGCTAAGTGTCTATGTGTGAGTATGTGTAGAGGAGGGAGAGATTCCTAACAGAAATTGCTCATGAAAGGCAGTTAGAATAATGAAAGAAGCTGCCAAGAACAGCAGCAATAAAGAACAGGTCATATACATCATGAAGAAAGGACCCACAGTGATTCTGGAGCTGCTGGGAGGCAGCAGGGAAGTGGTGAGTGAGGCAGGGCAGGGAGCCAGGGCACAGCACTCTGGAGGAATGGGGTTTGCAGACACATCTCTGCACCTTTCTGGTGCTGGATGGTGGCCACAGAGCCCACTGCCTTCAGATCTCAGGCTGGATGGGAATGGGAAGTAGTTTGTTCTGCTGTGAGGATGAATGATGCATCCCTAATGGAGCAGGAATTCTACCTGCATGCTACAAACACCAGGGATAAATTGGAGTCCACAGATTCCACTGTAGCTGGGATAACCTACAGACACAGAAGTGTGTGTGTGCAGGGTCCCAGTTGGCCCCTAACCATTCTGCATCCAGAATTGTTGCTGGTTTAAGTAATACTGACCTATCTGAGGCCAGGGTGGATGAGGCTTGGAGCAACCTGGTCCAGTGGAAGGTGCTCCTATCCATGGCAGGAGGTTGGAACTAGATGATCTTTAAGGTCCCTTCCAACCCAAACCATTCTGTGATTCTGTGACCTGCTGAGTGGTGCTGAGGCCCAGCAAGTTCCAGAAGTATGAGCATCTGTCCACCTCAGAGGAGAGACTTGCCCATAGTGCCAAGAGACTGGCAGATGAGCAGCTCTTCAGTCAACAGCACTGATGGGGGAAAAATACCCCACAAAACACAACAAATCCCCCCCTTAACTAGTAGAAAAGTCTTGGCAGCAGCAATGTAGTTGCAGCTAACACAGTGGGAGGAGCAGGACTGGCCTGGGTGGAGCAGGAGTAAGATGCTCAGAGCCACTGTGCTTGTGATCTCTCTTTCAAGGACAGTTTGGCTGGCAGTGACCACTGTGAGACAGCTGCAGGGGAATGCAGTGGCACTGCTCTTTGGAGCAGAGGTGGGGGATGAGTGTTGTCTTGGGGCTTATTTCTTGGCACTGGGGAGTCCATTTAAAAACCACTTTGATGAGGTGAGGTTGGAAGCGAAGAGAGAGTGGAAATGGCTATGTACCTTCATGGAGTGGGATGAAGCTTAAGCTGTGCCAGGAGAGGTTCAGGTTGGACATGAGGAAGAATTTCCTCCCAGAAAGGGTGATCAGACACTGGAATGTGCTGCCCAGGGAGGTGGTGGAGTCACCATCCCTAGAGGGGTTTAAGGACAGACTGGGCATGGCACTTAGTGCCTTGGTCTAGTTGCCATAGTGGTGTTAGGTTGCAGGTTGGATTTGATGATCTCAGAGGTCTTTTCCAACCTTAGTGAGTCTGTGGTTCTGTGATACACACGTTCAGCTATAGCTTTTTACAGGAAAAGCTGTTTCTTGGCACCTGGCAACCTTCAGTGGCATTGCAGGCAGCAGGGGCAGAGCAGAAAGCATCGCTGGTCGTTAGGAAGCAACACAGAGCTCTGAGCATCAAGCTGCCCCAGGCTGGAAGCTCAGCACTGCCGAATGGCTGGATCAGTGCTCACAGTAGGTCAGAGCAATGACTGTAATCTGCCCCTGCAATCGATGGCTTTCTAAACAGCAGCTACAATTTCCTGGGCTTTCTGGCCATAGCCAGGCCAGATTGCTCACAGGGAAGAAAGCAAACAAGCTAATGAGTTGTTTTGAGTTGTTAAATGCAGGGGAGCTGCAGACAGAGGGACATGTGTGCGTGGCCAATGTCAGGATGCTTGGCAGTTTCCCAGGCAACTCGTGCCAGGGGGTTGTCAGCTGAAAACATTTATTTTGGACACCCTGAGGAGGTTACATTGGAGTCCCAAAGCCCCAAATTGCAGCCCTCGAAGTAAAGATTTCTTTCTGTGGTGGGGAGTTTTGTTATTATCATTTTTTAAAGTCTTAGCCATAAATAAAATAGGCCAAATTTGGGAAAATATTGAGGTGTGAGGATCACAAAGCAGGAATTTGGCTTCATGCTGAGGTATTTGTTCTTCCCTGTGTTTTGGATGCTTGTGGAAAGAGGCTGCTGAGGTGGTGGGAGCTGCTAGGGTTTGGCTGCCTTGAAGGCACTTGGGACAAGGCCTGGAGGGACAGGACACAGGGAATGGCTTCCCACTGCCAGAGGGCAGGGACAGATGGGATATTGGGAAGGAATTCCTGACTGGGAGGTGCTGAGACGCTGGCACGGGGTGCCCAGGGCAGCTGTGGCTGCTCCATCCCTGGGAGTGTTCCAGGCCAGGATGGATGGGGCTTGGAGCAACCTGGGCTGGTGGGAGGTGTCTCTGCCCATGGCAGGGGGTGGAACTGAATGGGCTTTGAGGGCCTTTCCAACCCAACCCATTCTGTGATTCCATGATTCATTCTATGCAGAATGACATATTTCCCAGGCATCTTTCACCTCTGTGTTCTGAAATGAACTTTTATTCCTGACCACAATGGTCAGTCCTCCACCCTAGAGGCACAGCTGAGTTTCTCTTCTCTCCCTAGAGCTCATCACATATATTTACCCATTTCTCTTTCCTACCCACCTGGCTGTACTGGGCCCCTGCAACACACCGACGAAAGGTTTATTCTCCTTTTACTCCCTCTCACCTGGTAATTAGTGAGAAGGGAACAAATAAGACCAAAAACTTCCCCCATATCTTCAGACTAATCTCTCAGGAGCACAAGTGATCATGAAACAGGCATTAAGCCACATGGATTTGTTCCACACACCATTGCTGTGCAGTGTCAGCTGCAAACCATGGCACAGCCCTTCATGGGAGGCTTGGGAGCTCCAGGAACAGAGTGGGAAGCACAGCATTAGGCTGGAATGGATTGTGTACGTCATGGCCTAGAAGTGCCTGTAAAGGATGGAGCAACTGAGGATGAGTAGCTCAAGTGAAGGCACTTGAAGTGAGCTGGAACATCCATCCATTTCTTCCATCCTCCATCCATTTGTGAGTATTTCAATTGCCCCAGAAAAACATTCTCTCTGCTGCACTTTTCTCCCTTGTTCAATAGGCATTTTCAGGGTGATCTGGATCACAGGGAAGACATGAGGGAGGCAAAGCATCTAGAGGATCTGAGGTGCAGGATGGCATCTCCCCACTGAGTCATTCCCTAGCCAAGCATTGCTGCAGCTCAATCACCTCCTTGTCAAAGGCACCTGGAATTTCCTTTTTCCCTGTCAAGTTGAACAGGAAGGTTGTTGCTTAAAAAAAATAAAAGAAGAAAGAAAGAAAAAAAAACCTGAAGAAGTAATTCCTGCATGCAATAAAAAGATACACTATCTGCTGAATGAAATATAAAGGCTTCACAGCAGCTGTCTCCTGAGTTTGCATTTACCACTGCTCCTGATTGGAAGGCTTGATAAAGATAATGGGATTTTTACCTCCCTCCCCCTCTCTGGAAGGTGGAAGTGTAACAAATTGGATTGGAGTGTGTCTCTCCTTTGTGGCAGCTCGCAGAGGAGTGCACAGATCTGAGGAGAGAGGGGCCAGGGTGCTGCTGCCAGCGAGGACAAAGCTAACAGTGTGCACTTAGTGCTGTGGATATGGATGTCAGGGTCACCTTTTCCCTGCCCATTTCCTTGCAGATCAGTGTATGACCCCCTGAGCTGGCACTCATGGGGAAGGGGAATGTGTATGAGACTAGGAACAGTTGGGGGGCACAACTGGAGGGTCCTTTCCTTGTCTTTGCTCAGCTTCATGATGAAGTGATTTGTATTTGGTCTGGGAAGATGGAGCCAGAAGCTCTGAATGTGCCCTGCAGGGTGTTTTCCTCCTTGTCTTGTGCAGTCAGACTGACCTGTCCTCTTCCTCACATGGTCACTCCTTTCAGGAAGGCCAAGGCTTGGGAATCCCCTGTGATTCTGCAGGAGCACAAAAGGCTTGAGGTGACACCTCCTGGTGTCCTCAGCTCTCCTGGAGCAGAGGGAAATCTGCTCTCAGGACCTTGTCCAGCCCTTGGATACAAACCAAGTAGAGAAGGAGGAAAGCTGTGCCCACCCTCACATCAGAGCCCAGTGCAACACCAAGAAGCTGTGCATCCCTCCCAAAAAACTGTGTGTGTGTGTCTCTCCCCAAAGATGAGTCAGGAGAGAGGAGAACCACAGGAACATGCAGAGCCCTGAAGGAGAGAGGTCAGAGAGATGCTGTCCCCAAAACACCATGAAGAAAGCACATAAGAGATACTCTGACAGCAGAATTGATTTGGCACCTTGTGAGGCACTTGGTAAAAACACCATTGCCCAGCCCAAACTTCAGCATTTTGTGCTCTTCCAAGCAATGTCTGGGACCAGTTAGGTTCCAGGAATTCAGTCCAGGTGGGAATGAGCTTGGAGCATCATCCTCAGACATCCCAAGGGTAGTGTAGGTGAGGATCTAAGGGACTGGAGCAGCTGAAGGGCAGTTCAGGCTCAGTGCTTAGCCAACACAACCTTTGCTCACTCCTGGAGTGTCTCTAGCCAAAGGAACACCCAGCAATAAACACAGTTGCTGACCTCTTCCTGCTAATTTACATGACTAATGAAGGCAAGTGCAGCTTTCCCAAAGCATTTTAATTATGTGATAAGAAAACTGCTGAAACCAAAAGAAATTTGCAGTGGTCCTTGCATTTTTTCTATGAGGAAAACCAGGCAAGGGTGGCAGGTGATGTCTCCATATCCAAGAGTTCATTTTAATTAGCTCCTGCAAATGAATAGACTTTCTGCTTTGGCTCTGGCTTAGCTGTATGTGGTTGGGTCACTGAGACATGCCAAGCAGCTATAGCTTTGGATGCTCCAGGTTGTCTGTGATAAAGCCACAGCTTTCCCTGCTGTCACCAGGTGATGCTACATGTCCTTTTGGCCATGCTTAGATGTTCCTTGCTTTAGGCAAGTCTCTGAGTCCTCTGTGGGGAAAGCTCATGGCTTCATGATCTTAGAAGTATTTTCCAGCCTTAGTGACTCTATGGAGTTTCCTTCAAGACTTGAGCAACAAAGACTTGTGCTCTAGTGCTGCACAAGGAGAGGAGGATTCATTGTTTCAGGGTAGAGGCTGGAGAAGTGGATGTGGTCAGAAACAGGAGCCCTTCTGCCCACAGGCATGTGCTGAAGGCTGGTAGAGGTGAAATCCTCCACAGACATGGTCTCTGTCCTGATGCTGAGGCCTTCCTGTTCTCCATCACTGCTGGGTTTGAGGTGTGAGAAGTGTTGTGTGAGCACTAATGGAGATGAACTGAGCCCAGCACAGGCTCTGGTGCTGTGTTGAACTGCTCTGCCCAGGAGAACCTTTTCTGGGGCAGGTGGACATGTCTCAGGTATTGGGAAAGGCTGAGTCTGTGCTGCTAAAGGAAAGGGGACCAGGGCTGGATTTCTATCCCTGCCACAAGTGACATTTACTTCTGTCCCATGGTGATTGCTAACGTATGGTTGGTCTTGGAAACAATCACATTGGAGCAAGACTAGAGCCATAAATCAGCTAAGAGTTAAGGACTGTGGATAATCAGTGTAAAGGCAGTGAGTGATGTGCTGCTACATGGGGTACAACCTGCACATGTGTGACTACATGGGACATGGGCACAGTGGTTACCAAGGCTCTGGCCCTGCCACAGGCTCTGCACAGCAGAGTTCAATGTGTCTTTTCTCCTTGCAGAGTGGAGACAAGCAAGTGGGGCCAGGATGATCCTTCAGGATGAAGACATCACTACCAAGATAGAGAATGACTGGAAGAGGCTCAACACACTGGCACACTACCAGGTAACTGTGTGAGGGGGTGGCTACATGGTAGAGCAGCTAAGAAAACAAAAAGGAGAAGGGCAAAATGTTATTCTCTTGCCCAGGGAAATAAATGGTGGAATTAGCACATCTGGAAGTGTTCTGAAGACATGTGGATGTGGCACTTGGGGGACATGGTTTACTGGTGACCATGGTGGTGTTAAGTTAATGGTTGAACTCAATGATCTTAAAGGTCTTTGCCAACGTTAAGGATTCTGCGGTTCTAAGATGCAGAGGTAAACAGTGGTTGAGTGGGCAATAACTGGGCAGAAGCCCTATGTGGAGTACATCCATCCTGTTCCACTGTCCTTGTGGTAATTACCCTGCACAGTGCTAGAGAGGGAATTACAAATCTCCAAGAGGGACATCCCTGGGGAGTGAAGGATGTGGAGATGTGCTCATTAGGACAACATGAGCTGGCATTTCTCATGTAGACAAACAGTAAACATCCCCCTTTTTCCAATGCATCAGAGGCCTTCTAATGCCAGCAGAGTTCAGAAGGATGGAAGAGAGAAAGGCAAAAAAAGAGGGAGGCTTAGTGTCTGCAAGAAGGAGGAGGGAAAGTAGCATGGCTGGAGACCATGGTGTAGTGGGGAACTGACCTAGGAACATCACTGGGAGAAGAGAAGGTTGTATGGAAACCTCAGAGCAACCTGCCAGGAGCTGAAGGGACTGCAGGGAAGCTGCAGAGAGACTCTTGGGTAGGAGCTGCAGGGACAGGACAAGGAGCAATGGGGAGAAATGGAAAGAGGGAAATTGAGATGAGGTCTCAGGAAGAAGTTTTCCCTGTGAGGGTGGTGAGACGCTGGCCCAGGTTGCCCAGGGAGGCTGTGGCTGCCCCAACCCTGGCAGTGTTTCATTGCAGGTTGGATGAGCCTTGAGCAACCTGCTCTGGTGGGAGGTGTCCCTGCCCAGGGCAGGGGTTGGGGCTGGATCATCTCTGAGCTCCATTCCAACCCCTTCACAATCCATGAACCCTTGTTTTCAATCCTTGTCCTGGTCCATGTGACCTGCTTTGGGTCAGGCCTTCCCTTCATCTCTGCCTGACCTAGAAATCCATAAGAGAAAGCTAAAGATGCCTGAAAATACCTTACACAAGTGGTAGCTTTAATGAAAAATTGGAGTTTTGGTCAAAAGAAAAAAAAAACCCAACAAAAAACCCGGCTCATTAACCTGAATCCAATGCTGTCAATTTTGTCATTTCCTCAATCACAGCACAGTGATGTGTGTTTCATAACAGGATTCTTTTCCCTTTCCATTTGAGGGCTGACCTGAGGAGGCAGCAAGCAATCATTTGAAAAGGAAACCAAACTTTCACTTCAGCTTGACTGCAGCATTGTTGCCTGCCTCCTTTTTCTCCAGAGGGAGCAGGGACATTCTCTCTTTCATTTCATCAACAAACCAGGCAGAATTTTCTTCCCTCACTCTGCTTTTTCAAGGGTTTTCTTTTTTTGCTTCAGGCAATGAGCTCCAAGCTATATGATGAGCTGGGGCAGAACAGGTCCTCAGCTGCCAGGGTACATGGTTTTCCTGGCTGTCCTGAGGGCAGACATGGAGCATGCTGGGACAGACACTGAGATTCCTCTTGCCTCAGTTTCCCCATCCACAGTGTGGGGCTAAAACTACAAAGAGCCAATAATTGCCTTCTGTGACTGCTGAAGGGCTATTTAATTAGCCTCTTCAGTGCTTTGAAGATGAAAAACTCTATGCAAGTGCTAATTATTGTTATTATTACCCAGACAAGAGTTAGATGTTGTTAGCAGGGGTTTTTTTTCCCCCAACTCCTTTTATGATGTCTTAGTTATCCCAAATATTCCTGATATGGCTCTTTTGAGCCATTGGCTTGTTAACATTTTGGATGTGGGACCCACGTGGTTTGCCAAGCTCTAGAAAGAGAAGGTTTGGCTCCTTTAAGAAAGCCCTGTGGTCTCTCCAAACACCATCCCATGATATCCTGGGGAAGAGCCACTCCAAACCTGCGGCTTTTCCGTGTCTCAGACCCTCTGAGACAGCAAGGACAATGAAGTTGTGGTAGTCAATTCAGCAGTGCATTTGTCACATGGAAGGGTGAGACTTTCTGGAGAGGTTGGCAGGACCAAAGTGGAAAATCTAGACATCTGGTACCTGGATATCACCTACAATCCAGGCAGAAGGAATGGAACACTTCACATCAGGTTTCTCATCCTTATGGGACAGCCCAGATTTAGTGTTTGAAACAGCTCAGATGATTTTCTTCTTCTCATGCTCCTGTTCTGCACAAGAGCTGCCTTGAGAAGAACCTCCTGTCAGATTTACTGAGCTTAGTGCAAACACCATCCCTGGAAATGTTCAAAACACGTGTGGATGTGGCACTTGGGGACATGGTTTAGTGGTGAACATGGTATTGCTGGATTGGATTCCATGATCTTGAAAGTCTTTTCCAACCTAAATGATTCTATGACTCATATTGTCATCATTGGAATTTGAAGCAGGACCTGAATGGAGCAGAATCTGTCACCATTGCCCAAGTGGAGGCTTCAAGCTGGGTGACAGCAGATTTTGTCCCTCTTTGACCCACTGAACAAACCCTTTGAAGCTTTGAGCCAAACCTCCTCTCCTGCCTCCAGTGACTGGTTTGCAGCTCAGTTCCTGCTGCTTGGCATGGTCCTCCACCAGTTTGCAGAAGCTTATTGACCAAGTGCCTTTTTCTCTGCAGGTGCCAGATGGATCTGTGGTAGCTTTGGTCTCCAAGCAAGTCACTGCCTACAATGCAGTCAACAACTCCACAGTCTCCAGGACATCAGCCAGCAAGTATGGTAAGGAGCCTATATAATTAGCTGCCTACGTCTTTGATCTTAGATCACTGAATGTCACTCTGAGAGTTTGAGGTCTTGTATCAATGCATCTCAAGGCAGTGGATTGTTGTTCCCACTTTACCCATGGGTCAACTGAGAATGAGACAGCTGTGAAAGACCAGGTGGGAACTCCTCTGTAGAGCAAAATGGAAACCTCCTTAGTGTCCTTCACACCCCTTTCCCCTGGGCTAGAATTGCAGCCCAGGACATGTCTCACTGTGGTGTTGCTGCACAGCAAAGCCAAACATCTCTGATGTGCAGCCAGAGCACTGCAAAACCACCTCCAGCCTCAATGCTGCTCTCATACCACTTGCTTGTTATTTCTAATTTATGAAAGCATCTCCAGCCCTTCTTATTCCCTTTAGCTTGGGGGAAAATAGCGCTCCTCAATGGCCAGAGGACACCCCTGCCTCTTTCTCCAAGGACATAAACCATCCACCAGGACTTATTAATATTCATCCTCTTTGCCATGTTTTTGCAATTACTGAAAGACACAGTGACCTTTGAAAAGGAAGACTTGAGGGGGGTTAATTTCTCTTGGATTTCCTTAATTCTTTTGCCATTTGATTTTGCAGGAGGAGGGAGTGGGGAAGGGTGCAGGGGGAGGAGAAGATGTGGTGGGTCAGAAGTGATTGTTAATTGCAATTAAGAAAACAGCATCTAGAGAGAAAAAGGATATTCCGTCTGATAATTAATATGTAGAGAGATTGGTAATGCATTAATGAGGCTGATTCAGATCTTGCTACGGAAAGGTGCAACACTCTTCTGGCAATTATGGTTGGAAAAGATTGGATCTGCAGCTCTGCTGGGAGGTCAGGGAGAGGGGAATGCCTTGTGCCATCCCTCAGAGGCAAAGGGAGATGAAATCTGGAGGCTAAAGGTGCTGTTGGAGAGGAAATTTGTGTGGGCCCACCTGGGGCTCTGGTTTGTGTCTGTCAAAACAAGAGTTTGGAGCAGGGCCGGAAGAGGATGGTGAGCAGGAGTTATTGG